TAAATTAGGGTTTTTTTCTGGTTTTCATTGTTGCTTTATTTCAGTCAATTTCATAATGAAAAGTCCAAGTGTTTTAACTGTGACTGCTTTTATCTTCATGTCTGAATCATGTGTCTGACACATAAACAGGCTCATGTCAGCTCCGTAATTCACAGCTCATTTCTTCCATAATCTTTACTCCATTTGCACATTGTTGCCAAAGGGCTTTATTGTGAATAGTATTGCTAAAACATCTAATCACTGTTGCCTTAGACTTTTAAATAATCTCTTAGTGATGCAAGGTTAATTCAGATTTTTTTTTCCACTTTTTAAATGACATTAGCTTTAATAATTTTTACCAGAAACAGTTTTAACATAACAAAATATGAATGTGCTGTTCATTTATAGCTATTATTTATGCACAGCAAAGTATGGGCATGTAGAGAAGAGAGAAACACATGCATGTACATATTTACACATGTAAGGTTGCCTGCTTTTTTCTCACGAGAACATGGCCTCAAGCATATAAAAGATTATAAATATAAGAGCCTATTCAGTTGAAGATATATGCTTTATTATATGCCTTTCCGTTTCCATGATTGTTTTCTTTCCATGGTTCATGTCACTATTCTGGAAGGGAAACCTTTGCAGGATTTTAAGATAAAAGTGTCAGAGTAAAGAAACAAAAAGAGAAATTCACGTTTGTCACACAGCTAAACAAACAGTAGTGGCAAACCTCTCTTAGTGCAGCGTGTGCAATAACCCTCCCTTAATATAAACCACTCCACTGCCACAGGCCGCAGCTCTCAGCTGTCACAGATATGCATCACTCAGCTGTGGCATTCTCTCTAAAAGGTTTCCACTAAATACTGACTTGTCTGTTTAACTTCCAGCAGGAGCTGTGTCCAGGTATTTCACTGCATGCAGAGGGGACAGGCCTGATGCAGCAGCTCACAGCCTCTGGGGTTGACGTTGTCAGTGGCCTTGTGTGTATCAGCAGCAGAGTCCCTGAAAACTCGACTGGCTATCAGTTCCTCGTAAAAGAGGCGTGGCGGTGGAAGTGAATGGGCTGGAGAAATTGCTTTAGGTTAGACTTAATATGTCTCTGCGATGCCATGTTCGGGTTGGCTGTGGGAAAGGCCAGACTTGGGAGATGGGAAATAACCTGCAGCCTATATTCTGTTGTTTATGCTCTATGGGAACCGACTGACATGTGTCTCTCATCAGAGCTATTCATGTATGGAAACTTCATCTATTGATGCTCTCATGTCATTGAGCTGCAGTGTACTTGAGACTGGAGTTGGACTTCAACCTGTCTCCTGTAAATCCCTCGGCTCGCTCGTCGTTTGGAATTTTAAGTAATTAGAGGAATGTTGGGAATTGGTAAGCCAGCAGAGCCTCCACAGCCGAGCCTGTCTCATCACGGCTGCAGAACAGATCTCACAGTGATCTCTCGCTTTCATTTGTCCTGCAGTCTATTTTAGGGGTGACATGCATTGTCTGTTCTATACTTGGCTGCTGTCGCTCATGTCGCTGCATTGGCCCTTTGTCTTCTGTGGCTGCACGTGAAAAAATCAGCTTTCCTTATTGTTACTTCACAAGATGGTTTACAGAGTGATGTACAGAATTGAGAAAAGTCTTAGACACTAAACATGAAAATTAAGATAACTTTTGTTTATTGTTTCACCTCAGTGAAACCGAAGAAAATCAAACACAAATCAGTTTTGAAACAGCATCAATTCTCTGAGGGATGTCCAAGCTTTTCTAGGTACTTGGCAGGTTGTTGTCTCAAGCATCGTGTTGCACTTCTTCTGTGGATTCAGTCTGTTTCATTCTGTCCCTTCATGTGATCACACATGAATCAGTGCAGAGTTTGAAAACTACAGTGTGGAGGGCTGTTTCCATCAGCTGAGGGAGCATTTCTCTGTGCTCGCCTCTAATATGAGTTGAAAACCAGCAGGTACAAGCATCATCTTTTTGTTTAGAAAGCTTTAAACATTACTACACCTCTGCATTTATGCTAGTCACTGTCTTTCCTCATGGATCTTTTAAATGTTATTTTGTCCAACATCCATCTGTTGTATTTCTGTCCATCCTGGGAGAGGGATCCGTAACATGTCTCACCTTGTATGGATTGCTAAGCTCTATGAGGCAAATTTGTGAATGTGGGCTATGCAAATAAAATTAGATTTATTGGGTGATGTGTAAAAGTCAATCAGTGTCCTGTGTGAAATTGTGAAATAAACTGAATGGACTTCAAACTGAGGGAACATGTTGCGTCCAGATGTCAAACTTTTAAAATGAGTATTTCTCTATTTAGATACTAGATTTTTCATTGTGAGGGACGGAGAGATGTAATTTTAAGATTTTAAGGAAACTGAACTTCTATTTTGTGATACTGTGTGTTCGATAAGGAGTATTTGTATGTGCCTCTGTGCTTGTTAGTTGTTGGATTCGTTATGATTTGGTTGTCGCACAGATGGTAACTGAATATCAGTCAAGTTATGATGTCAATTAGACAGCATTAGACAGTTTACAACACAGTTACATCTCCAGTCATAATCTGTGAACTGCCTTGTGAGACAATGTTGCCTTGGTCATGCGGCCACAATATTTATCTACATGTGATATAACTGTACAATCCTTAAACTACATACACCTTTAAACATTGCTCCACTCACCGCCATTGCCACATCTTTCTATCATAGACTGTTTATAAAGATGGAGATTGATGCCAAATCGTCTCCATCGCCACCCTGTGGCTGGATGCAGTGTAGGTTAGAAACCCCGCTACCCTATGTTAGGACTTAATTCAAAAGTAAAAGTCCAAATACATGTGAAATATTTTTTAATCTGTACAAACAAAGATGGTTTCAGTCATTTGAGATGATTCCTATCACACTGATGCTTAATGAAGTTTTCATTTTTGGGCAAGTTTGGTTTTAATTAGTTATTTGATCCTATAATAACAAGGTGAAACGTTATGATTGACAGCTGGGATCACTGATTCATTATTGGTGGAGCACATATTGATGGGACCTCGATACCGCAGATACTACACAGACTCTGGCTCCAAATGCACAAGATG